GTTCTGAAACCGGTGGCCTTTGTTTCCCTAGGGAAGAATGAGAAGAAGCCTCCAAAAGGCTACCTGATCCACGCCGGTCTGGAGCCGCTCACCTTCACCAACATGTTCCCCTGCTGGGAGCACCGGGAGGACGTGTCCGAGATCACAGAGAGGGTGGGATGCTTCTCCACGGCCTCCACAGCAACAAGCTTCACCTGTTCCTGAACCGTGTGTCTCCTGTTCTCAGGAGGCTGAGGTGTGTAACCAGATCATCCTGGTGGAAGACGTGTTGGCCCGCCTGTGCAAGACCACCTACCCGCTGGCTGAGGTTCTGGCCCGGCCGCTGCCCGACGGCGTCGACCCACTGCACCTGGAAGTTTACCTGACTGATGAAGACTTTGAGGTGAGAACCGGGATTCTGCTCCCAAATCATTTTGTTTGTCAGATATGAGACGTGAAGCCTGACTCATCTTTAATGTCTTCAAAACCAACAGAAAGGTTGGTAAAAGTGAACACTGACAGGTTTTAGGCACCAGACTGAAACATTTGACTTCATAATGTAAATAACAAAGTTCTCATTGGGACCGTCACAATAGCAAATTTTACTGAAAGATAAATTGTCCCAGAAGTTATTGCAAAGAACAATAATATTGTTGTTTTGAGACGATTTTCAAGTAATATAATAGTAATGGGTTAATAATGCAAGATCTCATTCTTACAGATGAATAAACTTAAAGTTCTAGTGAATATTCAACACTGGAACTGGAAGACAATTTAAATATCCAAAATAAATCAAATGAAAACAGCAGGTGAAATGAATTATCTATAAACATAATCATCCTTAAGAAAAATATTCTAGTTGAGACCAAAGCACCAGGCTGAAGACTTATCGTTCAGTTTTTGGTAGAAAGAGAGAAAAGAGAGAAATGATAACTTATGAAAATAGAAATGATTGCGCTCATGTTAAGTGATCATGCAGTTAATTGATTTATTACTTATTGCAACATTTCTAGTATCAAACAAAATTCCAGACTTCCAAAAACAGATGAAACCTTTTTAGATTATTTCTCATTATGAGCACAACTTCAGTGTTTTACTAAGGTTTTATGTGACAGATGATCCTCATTCCAACATTTTCTGCTTCCATTTTGTTCTTCTAAACAGACCATGTTATTCTCTATTCGTTCTTTCAGCAAATTGAAATTTTTCGATTCGGCACACTGTGGTTAATAATTAATCAATTACTAAATTAGATAGTTCAATTAATCCATCACATTAATTGTGATTAATTTGATGAATCGTTTCAATTCTATTCCTTTACTGAACCATTGTAGGTGAATTTATTTTGTTTTATAAAAATAAATCTTTAAGTGATTTTTGGAGATAAATGAAACTGTCCATCTTATGCCTCTTTGACCTCACCTGTTTCACTCATTCCACTTCTCCAGGGTGCAGGGGCTTATGGGAAGGTGAGTCCAAGCAGTGTTAGCATGGGAAAACAGACTGGCTCCATGTTGTTAGCATTTCTACTTCTAACATCTTGTTTTGTTGTTTTTATTAAATTATCAGTGAATGCATACAAAACAAACATTACAGACTATAAAAGGCGTTGAGCTACATAGTGACAAATGACCAACTAGAGAAGAATAAAAACTAAGTTTAAAACATAAACATTAAAATGGATATATTTAGGACACAGACAAAATACAGAACATAACCAAGTTGTGTCGGAACAAACATGGGATTGGTTAACATATGCACGTCAGGATACTTAGATTTTTTTACGTTAATGAATCTTTATTTATTATTTTCTCTAATATTTATTGTTTTGACTAATTTAGTGTCAGCAATATTTTGGGTGAAAGAGGGAGGAAAAAAGCCAAAAAAGTAATACAGACCATAGAACAAATAAATGAATGAAGTATAACTATAAAACATATGTATATGTATTATTAGGTTCTCCTGTTTCCACTCTACTTCCTAACATTTCTAACAGAGCGTTTCATTTGCATGCTGTTCACCAGCATTTGGACTGAATCTTGGAGCCTTTTTCTGTTTTTTAATTTTATGTTATTTACCGGACGACAACAAAACGGGACGTTTGAGTTTGAAAGTGCAGATGCATGAGTTTGTGGACTCGGTCTGTGAGTTGTGCCTGACTGCCGGTGTCTCTCCCACAGAGAGTCCTGGACATGAGCAGGGAGGAGTACGGCGCTCTGCCCGGGTGGAAGCAGGTCAACCTGAAGAAATCCAAAGGACTCTTCTGAAGGGTGGAGAGCCTTCGTTTTATTTTACATTTTTTGTCATCGTTGTTTCTTTGCTCACGCAGCAGACGCTCGGGAGCAGCTCCTCCCGAGCCGAAGCGTTACCGCGGCGATGCGGAGGAGAGGCGCGTCAGCCTCTTTCTCACGCCGCTGATCTCCATCCTCTCTGCGCCCGGGTGGGTGTGCTGGGGGAGCGGAGCAGAGCACTGGGATCTGTGTTAATAGTGCTCCTTTATAATGACACTGTTAATGACTGTACATATGTAGCATATGGAAAGCAGCCTGGGTCCTTCCACTGGCTGCCTTACAGCCATCTGTTGGAGTGGAGGCAGGTCTGTCAGCCTGTTGGACACATTCCACTTCAGACTCTCTGCTAGATATGGATGTTTGTGCATTACAAAATATACATATATATATATTTATATTAAAACCACAGAGGAATTATATAAAAAAATAATAGACTTTAGATATCAAAATAAAATGTACATTATTGCAGCAAATCTTTGTGTCAGATGTGTGTGTAAGTTAAAGTCACCTACTAACCAGACGAAGTGGCTTTGAATGCAGGAAGAACACGAGCTTTGATTCCAGACGGCAGCCTGACTGTGACTGCAGTGGATAGTGCCTTGCTCCATGTACAGTTTATACACATCCTGTTCTGGATTTTCAACATTGTTTGTGATGAACCAACCAATAGAGAAATAAAGAGATGAAGTTTGATATGAATGCAGTCTGTGTTGTGTCTTATTGTTCATTATAAAGTACTTCCACTCAGTTAGGCGGTCTTGTGGCCAAAACTTTTTCCCGTTTGGGTTCGATTGCACTTTTTAATTATTTGTCTGAGCCACAAACTCATAGATGTGTTATAGTTTTTGAGTATGTTTCTGTTTTTCATGTGGCTAATTCTCCAAATTTTGTCTTTCAGAAAATTATGGTCTGATTTTAATTAAATTCAACTGATTTAGGGTCATTTGATGTGGACAGACATGTTAATATAGACAAACTGAATAAATCCCATGCTGTATCATGACTGCACACAGCCCTCTAACAGTGAGCAGCTCAAAGCAGAAACATGGAGACGGCTGCTCATGCAGAGCCAGCTGACACCTGATGAGGACTGCTGGCCCTTTGTCTCCTCCTTGTGGCTATGATTATAACTACACCAGCTTACTTGGGTAATTCACTTTCAATAGTGAGCTCCTCTGAGGACTGTCACTCCCCTCACAAAGGCCACTATGTTTCATGGAATACAAAAGGATTTAGCTGAATGATTAGAAAGCTGAAAGATCTGTGGCAACTTTCAGAACTGCAATAATCCATACCTGAAGTGGGAAAATCAGTTGTTTACCTCACATCAATCTGGTCTTCATGGAGCAGAAGCGAGATGAAAGCAATCGTATAAAGAAGTCTCATTCATAGTTTATGTCAATTCATGCTGAGGATACTCCAAACATCTGGAAGGAGATAGTTTGGTGGATAACCAAAGCTGTACATCACTAAAGCAGTGGACTCACACCATGTTCCTCAAGGGCCGACGTCCTGCAACTTGTTTAGACTTTAGACTTTAGACTCCTTTATTGTCCATTAAACTTACATAAATGGAAATTTATCTTTGGCATTGGCACAAAAACACACAACACAACACACATCCCAGTTGCCACAAAACTATGTATAATGAATAAACAAGATCTGTAAAATAAAATTACAGATCTTGTTCTGAAGAAAAGTTAACTTTACAAATATTCTAAACAAAACAAAAAGTAAAACGCATTTGTGTTTTAAAAAAGGCAAAAAGGAGGAAGATTTCCAGTTTAAAAAACTGCGATGTTACGGTTACATTACAGTAAGTCCAATGAATGATAGGAATGTTCTCACATCTCAGCATTTGCCACTAGTCTCTCAGTCTCTGGGGTCAAACTGTGTCAAATTGCACACAAATAGCCCAGACATGATAGAGCATGCAACAAAGCTATACAGGGCTTTGCTAATGAACTAATATTGGAATCGTGCTGAAAAGGACATGTACGTTGCTGGACACTGGCTGCTGAGGACTGAAGTTTGAGACCACTGCCACAAGCATATCGTCCCTAAGGTAAAAACATGGCGGCTGCATCACCTTATGGAGAGGCTCCAGTCTTGGAATTGGGTCAGAGTTGATGGGAAGATGGATGGAATGAAATACAGGATGATCCTGGAAGAAAATCTGTTAACAGACTGATGTGAGGGGTTCAGCATCTGGTGTGAAAATTATGTCAAGAGCCTTATTAGATGTACCTAAACTGAAATATGAAGTATCTAAGCCAATATTTGTATTTTCAAAGCATAATTTAACCACTATGTGATTATTGGAACCTAACAGGAAGTTGTTTTGTATCATAGTCCTCTCTTCAAACTTTCACCATTAAACAGGAAGTTGGTGGAACTCCCAGAGAGAAGCTCTGATTTCACAAAGTTTTTAGCACCAATATGACTACAGCAGTCATATTTTGATTTTAAAGGCTGGCAAGCAGCACCACCAAACCTGGAAGTGAGTAACAGTCTGGGGGCAGTCTTGAGTCGTGGCATCCAGACCACCGCCAGGCTGCGAAGACGGATCCAATCCACATGCAGGTTCCCAGAGACTGGAGTATGGAAACATGCTGCCGGTTAAAGTGCGTATGCATTAATGCTGCTGGTTGACGTTTATTGCTCAGGACATCAGCTGAGCTGAATTTCGCCACGTGGATTCAGTTGAAACGCTCTGATACCTACATGAACTCACAGGTGAAGACTCCAATCTGCTGTCCAAGCCCTCAGACTTTCCTGCCCGGGTTTCCAGGCTGCTCTCCAACACTTTGCACTGAATGCTCTCAGATGTTCTCCTGGCCCATCTGGAAGACCAAGCACAATTACAGGGGAATTTCATGCAATCATAGAAGAACAATATACACACCCGGCCTGTCCACCTAGAGGAGGAAGACGTTGTGCCTCAACCAAACATGTCAGCTCAAAGCTGCATTGTTCATGGTTTTTCAAGCACCCGCCTGCTCACTCCATGCATATAGAAGTTGTTGGATGCTGAAGTGTAATTGTTCTGTTTCACATGCCTCCTCTGAACTCTACTGACCCGCTGGAGGAGACTGATGTGGCAACATGGCATGAATCCACCCACCACCTCCAATCTCTTCTGTGTCTCCTAGGCAAAAGTAGGAAGTCCTCTGTACGTTACACTCTGCCAGGTCTGTGTGTGGTCTTGTATTTGTTACATTGTAAAGGTTGATTTTCTTAATACATACCATGTTTTGGGGCCCAAACCCTGGTTTCCATGAGCAGTGTCATTTTGAGGTCAGGTTTAATGTTGGGTCTGTCTTGGCAGTGGTTAGTTTTGTGGTTAGCGTCGCGGTTAGCCTGCAGAAATGAATGCAACTCAAAGCGAAGTCCTTGGAAAGGTAGAGAAACACGTTTGTGTGTCTGACTCTAAACTCGGTTTCTTTGCTGGCCTACGACAAGCTTTTCTTTTTATGCACGCAATCTCTTTATAGTACACAGAAGAAACAAAGCAAAGACACACACTACACAAAGCCATTGTAAGAAATAAGTCTACATTCATCCACTTAAGTTCTGTCATGTATGAATATATTTATTGTTAGAAAAACAGTCAAAAAGTAATTAAAGAAATTAATTACTAAGACAACTTCTACACTATGCAAAGGTTTCACAAAAACTAAAACTAGGGAAGCAGTGAACTGAAAACCAACCAAAAGCGAGCCGAAAGTACAGCAGGCGCCGTAAGAAAGGCTTGCAGCATTATGCAGTATTCAGTAATGCTGCATAACTGATCAGTACAGTATTGTCCCCTGCAGGACTCCGTAGAACAGAGTCGTCGCACCTTTGACTGTAATAACATAAGTTGTCATTAGAGGGTGATTGTGGAGGCCTGGGCCTGTGAAGCTGTTCTGCAGTAAAGGTGAAACTCTAATGTTTGTCATTCATTATTAGATTATGCAGAGGGTAATTAAAATATCCATCAATATTTGCCGGGCCATATGCCACAAGATCATCTGCTGAATTCTAACATGTGAATCAGGAGGGTGAAGGTATCAACCTAAAGCTCTTAACCATCTGTAGACGCTGTAATGTTGTTCATAACCGCGTTCATTCAACACAGGCTTTGGTGCAAAGTGACACAGTTGAGCCTCAGCCCAGTTTTTATGTATTTATTGTTTTATTTTTTTACCATTGGCATTGAGCCCTCTCAGCCCTCTGCTCCTCCTCCTCCTCCTCCTCCTCCTCCTCCTCCTCCTCCTCCTCCTCCTCCTCCTCCCTCCTCCTCCTCCTCCTCCTCCTCCTCCTCCTCCTCTTCCTCTCTCACATGTAATGACACCAGCGAACAATGAGGCAGCAAACCAAGCTTGTTCTGCGCTCCCCACAACGCACCTCATCCCTCGGTTTTTTGTTCCTAGTTTCTATTTCCGAGTGGATTACTATTTGCTCTCAGCCTCAGATATCTTCCTTCTCTGAGCTGAAAAAGAAGAAAAAAACCCTCTAAGCTCAACATTTTTCGTCCAAAGTCTACATCAGACACTTCAAACACTCAGGGCCTCACATGATATAAAGGAACTAAATTTCCGACTTTTCTCGGTCTTTTCCTGCTGCCCGGGGCTCTTAGCGGTGAGCCGAGCTTGTTAACCCAGATTTAGATCTCCGTCCTGTTGGAGCCCATTAAAGAAGTTTGGATTTATGTAACACAGAGCGCAGCCACGTGCCTCAGGTCTGTCTGTCAACTCTGTCCCCTTCTCTCCTGTCCAGTTTCCAGTGGGACGGTCCCTTTAGGGACCACCAGGAGGCCCCGTCAACACCTGAGGCTCCTTTTCTGGACTAATGATCCGACCACACACTACAGTACCACACGTCCAGAGGTTTTAAGTGTCATGCTTCAGATTTATGATGGAATTAACTTTCCTTTTTTGCTGACACTTTCAGACAGAAGGTTATGGAGGAGGAAGAGTTAGCTTTTTTTTTTTTTTCCTGTTTGACTTTGACCTTCTCTTGGCCTTCATTTCATTATCCGACTGCTGATGGTCAAGGTCTCCCGCTCATCTTCATGCTCCAATCTTTTCTACATTTCCATTACATTTTGGGTGTTTATCTGTAAACTGAGATCATAACCTTTATGTTATGTTGAATTATTTTTACAGCATGTGTAAGGAGTGATTTCCACTTTCTGAGATGAGCGATGAAAAATATCAAACTTTTTCTTTATTTTTTTCTAAAGTGTTGCTGAAAATACACTGCAAAGGCCTGAAAGAAAATATGTTAAAGATGACAAAGACTGATTCCTCCATAAAGATCTGAATTTTGAGGTACATGATTAATATATTCACGCTCAAAAGTTTCTCCTCCTCCATCTGATGAATTATTCCTTCAGTTGACCTGTTAATGTTACTTCTAACTATCTCTGTGTAGATTAGCTTAGATCTGATTGGTCAGTCACTACCAGAAACTCTCACAACATCCAACCTTCCTCTTGACCACTAACGTTCTTTTGTTTGATTTTTTGATTTTATTTTTTTTTAATTAACAAAGCAGGAAGAAGTATGATGTTTGTTTTTGTGCTCTGAAGGAAACACATGGTGGACGGGGTCAGAGGTCAAGTGTACAATCTGAGGCTCGCAAAGACACAAAGACAAAGCGCCATAACCAAGAGGAGAAAGTAAGTCATCCTCTGGGTCTCGCTCTCCAGACTCAAAATGTTTGGGGAAGCAAAAACACACACACCTACAACCCCCCCCCCCCCCAACCCCCACCCCTACCACACACACACACACACACACACACACACACACACACACACACCCACACACACACACACACACACACACACACACACACACACACACACACACCATCAGGGCAATGAGCGTAAACCCAAATCCATCAACATGTTTCCATCAATGTTATGGCGCGGGTCACCCTCCAGAGACAAACGGTGTCGTTTCTAAACACACTCACACACACACATCCATACTAAGCAGACAGGAGGTGCAGGATGCAAACAGCTGGCTGCTGTCAAAGTGTAATTACTGCTTAATAAAGGAGGCTAATAAGGACTTAGCTTCAGCTGCGATTGGCTAAATGAGGAGAGGAGAGTAGAGGAGAGCATCACCAGATTCTGCAGACCGATAACAGCTTTGACCTACAGCTGCCTTCTAAAGCCCATCCAAACTTTCTGTGTGCAGCTCGACCAATGAGGTCAGAGCATCTGAACACACAGATCCTGCATCTGAACACACAGATCCTGCATCTGAACACACAGATCTTGTATCTGAACACACAGATCCTGCATCTGAACACACAGATCCTGTATCTGAACACACAGATCTTGTATCTGAACACACAGATCCTGCATCTGAACACACAGATCTTGTATCTGAACACACAGATCCTGCATCTGAACACACAGATCCTGCATCTGAAAACACAGATCCTGCACCTGTTCAGACAGGGTGGCCAATGCACCGGAAACAGGTTAGTAAATCTCAGATAAAATGCAATAAAAATTAAACCAGCTGAGGATGAGGGGTTTTTGATAAAAAAATTACAAAGAAAAAAAGTTTGAAATCCAATTAACTTTGGTTTTGCTTCAGTGTTAGCAATAAAAAAAAGTTGAGGCAGCTATTTAAATAAAAACTGTTCTATACTTTTGAAAAATTTCACATAAGAGATTAGTCTCACCAAAAAACAAACACAACAAAAAAAAAAAACAGATTTGAGCAAAACAAACAACCTTTTACTTTTATTTATTTTTTTTATCTTTGTCCTCAAAGCAGCAGGAAATAAATGTGCTGATAAATAAATCCTAACTTTAATCTGTGCCTGGATGGGTTTCAGTACATCAGTTCATATCACTGTGATGATGACACAAACCCAGAACACCAGCAGCAAATCAATGCAGTCCAGAAAAACTGAGTTAAATGCCTTCAAGTCTGACACAAACTAAAATCTGCCTGGAATCCAGAGTCTAGACTCACATTGTTACAGTGAATCAAACAGAAATGTTTCACTTCCCACATTCAAGGAAGAGCCATACAGAACCATCCTGATATGGACTTAATGTTTGCAGCAGATACATTGTGTCAAACAAATAAATACCATGTAGCAGAAAAAGGACGACTAAAGAGCAAGAACACAAAATGCATGCCCTGCTGTCTGAAAGGAATAGAATATTCTCATATTTTCTACAAATCATGTCCTCTGAGTCATTGGTGTGAGGTTTAAATCAGTAAGACAACAGTTTGGTTGAAAAGAGACAAAAAACATATCCCGCAATTTTAAAGAAATACTGAGTTATGTCAGAACAATTTCTGGTCAGTTTTATGTCTGTGGTTTGTTTTATGGCTACAGGAGAATTATTGTCGGGATATTTAGAGTTTTTCAAGAGGGACAAACAACCAGGGTGATACTATTTTAGTACTTTCTTCATAATTAACATATTGCTTTAATCTAATGAATTTAAAGGGACATAGTAGAAAAAAAAAACTGTGGACGTTTCAACATATTACTCCAGTCACAAATCAATCTCTCTCAACCTTGACAAACATTTAGGGAGTATTCCACATATTTTCTTTAAATATTTGTTCCTGTATTATATATACATTTTAGACCTACAAACAAGGAAATCTGTGGTCAAAGAGGAGCTGCTGTGTTTAAGAGCAGATAGATGATGGAGGGTGATTAAGTTTTTACTGCCTGCAGAGTAAAGAGCAGAGATAGAAATGTAACCTTTGACTCCTCATTTACAGTCAAGAGTTAAATATTAACCCAGTTTATTCTCTGAAGCTCTGACCTCCATATCAGACATTATGAATGTTTTCAGCTCAGATATATAGTTTATTTTGATTTGTTAACCAAAGTAAATTAATCAGAATAAGTATCATGACCTAATAAACCTATAGATAAAATCACTGATTGATTGAATGCTTTCTAAATAAAATTGATTGATTGACAGTTATCTAGATGAGTTACCAAATGATATTAGTTTCTCCATTAAAGCTGAGAGGCTGCACCAGTCTGTGTGAAGCTTTGAAAGCACCATGAGTCTGTCCTAATCAAATCCTCACAACTATTGCTGCTCCTGTTGTCTCTGGAAACATTAGCTGTGTCAGAGGTGTGTGTCTGTTTCCAGACCTGAAGGGAACCAAACAAGGAGACCTGAGGTCAGAGAGGAGCTGCTGTGTTGAAGAACAGAGAGAAGATGGAGGGTTAACAAGTTTTACTGCTTGGAGTGAAAAGCAGAGCTGGAACTGAAACCTTTGACTCTTCATTTACAATCAAGAGTTCAATATTTACTCACTTTATTCTCTGAATCTGATTCCATATGAGAGCTTTGATAAAAACCTCAAACTACACAGAGATCTAATGTTTAGACTGCATGGCTCTTCATGTTATTGTAGGAAATAAAAAACTAAACAGAACAAAAATCAGCAGCCAAATTTTCTCCACACAAATCACTGATTGATTGATGTTTGTATTGACATGTTAACCTGTTGCTTCCTGTAATCAATGATTGTTTGTGTAATCTCTGTGCTGCAGTGCTGGAAGCAGAGAGAAACCAAACATCACATGAGACCATCTGAAGGAAAAGTTTCGGAAATTTAGACGACAAAACGAACAATTTATTGCAACAATCAAGATCAAATCTTTCCACATTTCTCAGTAATCAAGATGTTTTATTGAATGAATTCAAAGAGTCAAAACATCAAACATTTATTCTGATCTAAATCTGAAGGACTGAGAAGAAAACAGCATCAGTTCTAAGTTTTAGTTTCTGTTTCTTCTTTGGATCAAAATAAAGAAAAACAGAAAAAAGTTCAGTTCATTTTAATATGAACTGATTGAAACAAAAAGCAACATAGAGAAACCAGAACATCAAAATATATTCAAACAAATATTAAAGCTAAATTATTAGCATCCAAGGATGTTTAGAGAAATATGTTTCTGTCATATAAAAATATCAGCATTAATTTCCTTTATGGCTCCAGGAACACAGAGAAAAATCAAGAACAGAACATCAGAGCAGAGACATCAGAACCAAGAACCTGATCAACAATCAGAGAGAAAAGAGGAAATCTATTTCACTTTACAGAACTCTGCAGAGTCTCCAGTGAAACCAACCCAAACTCCAGCCAGCAGCGGCTGAGTGAATGTGGTCTGGACTCTGTGGAGGAGAGTCATGGTTTCAGAGACTCTGTAGAAGGACAGAAGACCTGCTGTGTGAGCCAGAAACACTCCTATTCTGGAGGAACCTGGACCTGAGATGTTGGTCCAGATGCTGTTGTGACCGAATCTAAAATTGTTTTGTTGACACACTAAAGCCCAAGATTTGTCATTATATCCTAATAAAGATTCTTTCCCACGTCCTGCTCTACTGATCTTCTTGTATGTAACTGATATATAAACTACTGACCCGCTCCACTTCACCTCCCAGTAACATCGTCCAGTCAGACTCTCTCTACTCAGAACCTGAGGCCAATAAGTGAATCTGTCTGGATGACTAGAATAAGACTGATGTTGATCCATCCATGTCACCTTCCTGTTCCCCTCTGATAGTGTCAGCAGTGAGTTTGCTGTATTTGGATCCAGAGTTATTTCACATGAATACTTTAAGAACCCAGCTCTGTTCTTTGGTTCTGGTTCTGACAGTAGAACATCCACCTCAGTGACCATCAGTGAGATGTTTGTCCATGAGTCTCTCAGGACGTCCTGTAGTTTGTCTCTGAGCTCTGACACAGCTGCTGTCACGTCCTCAAAGTGTCTCAGAGGACGGATGTTGATGCTGGATGAGTGTGTGGACTCACTGGGTGCTGGCAGTGAGGGGTAGTTGAGGAGAAACTGGTTGTGATCCTGTGTGTGTGAGAGCTGCTCCAGCTCAGCGTCTTTCCTCTTCAGCTCAGTGATCTCCTGCTGCAGCTTCTCCTCAACATCTTTGACTCGACTCACTTTGGTTTCCTGCTGGGATCTGATCTGCTGCTTCACCTCAGAGCTTCTTTTCTGGAGGAGACGGATCAGCTGAGTGAAGATCTTCTCACTGTCCTCCACTGTTTTATCAGCAGAGTGATTGATGGCCTCCACCTCCTGTTGAAGCAGCTTCACGTCTTTCTCTCTGTCCTGGATTCTCTGCTGGATGTTTCCTCGTCTCTCCTCCAGCTCTCTCTGCCTCTCAGTCCTTTCTGTTGCAGCTGACACTGAGTCATGACCTTTATGTTCCTCCATTAAGCAGATGAGACAGACGCACTTCTGATCAGTGCGGCAGAACATCTTCATCACCTCATCGTGCTTAGAGCAGATGTTCTCCTGCAGGTTCTTGTTTGGCTCCACCAGCTTGTGTTTCTTAAATGTAGCTGAATCATAATGAGGCTGAAGGTGATTCTCACAGAAAGAGGCCAGACAGACCAGACAGGACTTGATGGCTTTCAGTTTTCTTCCAGTGCAGAAATCACAGGCCACATCTTCAGGTCCAGCATAGCAGTGGTCAGCAGCAGCAGCTTGGAGTCCAGTCTTCTTCATCTGCTCCACTAGAGCTGCTAGCATGGTGTTCTTCTTTAGCACAGGCCTCGGTATGAATGTCTCCCTGCACTGAGGGCAGCTGTGGATTCCCTTCTGATCCTCTTCATCCCACTGGGCTTTAATACACTTCATACAGTAGCTGTGTCCACAGGAAGTAGTCACTGGATCCCTCAGTAGATCCAGACAGATGGAACAGGACAAAGTTTCTCTGTCCAGCTGATTCTGCTCCATTTCTGCTCTCAGTCACAGCGACTGTGTGAGTTTCACTTCCTGAACACAGAAACCTGTTAGAGCTCTGATCTATGACTCACCTGTTGGTGCAGAGAGGCAGCAGCCAATCAGCTTCCATATTCAGCAGATGTTGGCTCCACCCACCTTCATGTGTTTAGAAGCAGGAAGAAGAAGAAGGAAGAAAAACAGGCTTTGATCTGGAAACGTCTCCAAAATAGTTGTCATTTCAAAATGACTCAGTCACTGAAACTCATATGTGACCAAGTGTTAAATACAAAAGTGAAAAGTTAATGATGTTAATCTAATGTCCTTTTTTCATAAGATTAGAAAATATAAATAGATTTTGTGTTTTGTTTTACTCAGAAAAATAAATATAAACGTGCTAAATATTGTTAAAAACTGGCCTTGTATTGACTGTTTGTCCAAAAACTAAAATTCCAAAATCAAAAAAACTCAAATTTCAAATTGATCAAAGCAAAGTGAAATAAAGTCAAGTAGTCAGTACAGTGCATCGTACAAAAAGGTCAAACAATCAAAATGCAGCTCTTTGTTTACTTTATTCAGTTTTAGCTAAAAACAAGTTACATGCTTTGGGTAAACCTGCTCTAACTCCTGCACCTGATCTCACTGATAAAAACTGACTGACTGACTGATGACAGGTAAAAAACCATAAGAGCATCATGTGACTAAAGACTCATCTAAACCTACATATTTATACTGTGAAACACACCCACTTCCCAAACTGAAATTAATTAACTAATTAAGAGAATTACTAACCAAAAAACTTATTTAGAAACAACAAAATAAACATTCTAATTATAAATCAACTAGAAAGTAAGCAAATAAAATAAGCAAATAATTTACATTCTAGACTTTAACTGAAAAAATGGAGAAACATCTCCTACACTCCAGCCCTTAATTGTGCATTAAATCACAATTACATCTGTAACTAAAGGAGCTTTTCTAACAACCTCAATAATATCCTACATTAATGCAAAAACATTAATTCTTTTTGTCCTTCATTTCCATGATGATGAATCTGCCAGAGAAGAAAAAAGAATAGAATAGGAAGAATAAGAACGTCTTCAGTCTGCAGATGCCTCCAGGAGCAGACAGAGCTCCATCACTGGTCTCTCCAACACACTGGTTTTGGTCTGAAGTTGCACTGAACCAACCAGTCCTCCTCCATCAGCTTTGACTGCCAGGACTCTCCTCATCTGCCAACATCCAGGAGAGATGTTTCTTTTCTATCGTGTCCATTTTTGTCTTTAATGCAGTGAGGACAGATACTCAGAGATCCATCTTTTCCAAAAGAGTTCAGCCATATTCTGTACTTTCTTCCTTCTGAGTTTGAGATACAGGTCTTGTTTCTGAAACAGTCCAGGTGGCAGAACAGGTTTGCTCTTTAATGAAGAAATATCTACGACAATCAGTTTATTCTCTGAATCTGATTCCATATGAGAGCTTTGATAAAAACCTCAAACTACACAGAGATCTAATGTTTAGACTGCATGGCTCTTCATGTTATTGTAGGAAATAAAAAACTCAACAGAACAAAAATCAGCAGCCAAATTTTCTCCACTACAAATCACTGATTGATTGAATGTTTGTATTGACAGGTTAACCTGTTGCTTCCTGTAATCAATGATTGTTTGTGTAATCTCTGTGCTGCAGTGCTGGAAGCAGAGAGAAACCAAACATCACATGAGACCATCTGAAGGAAAAGTTTCGGAAATTTAGACGACAAAACGAACAATTTATTGCAACAATCAAGATCAAATCTTTCCACATTTCTCAGTAATCAAGATGTTTTATTGAATGAATTCAAAGAGTCAAAACATCAAACATTTATTCTGATCTAAATCTGAAGGACTGAGAAGAAAACAGCATCAGTTCTAAGTTTTAGTTTCTGTTTCTTCTTTGGATCAAAATAAAGAAAAACAGAAAAAAGTTCAGTTCATTTTAATATGAACTGATTGAAACAAAAAGCAACATAGAGAAACCAGAACATCAAAATATATTCAAACAAATATTAAAGCTAAATTATTAGCATCCAAGGATGTTTAGAGAAATATGTTTCTGTCATATAAAATATCAGCATTAATTTCCTTTATGGCTCCAGGAACACAGAGAAAAATCAAGAACAGAACATCAGAGCAGAGACATCAGAACCAAGAACCTGATCAACAATCAGAGAGAAAAGAGGAAATCTATTTCACTTTACAGAACTCTGCAGAGTCTCCAGTGAAACCAACCCAAACTCCAGCCAGCAGCGGCTGAGTGAATGTGGTCTGGACTCTGTGGAGGAGAGTCATGGTTTCAGAGACTCTGTAGAAGGACAGAAGACCTGCTGTGTGAGCCAGAAACACTCCTATTCTGGAGGAACCTGGACCTGAGATGTTGGTCCAGATGCTGTTGTGACCGAATCTAAAATTGTTTTGTTGACACACTAAAGCCCAAGATTTGTCATTACATCCTAATAAACATTCTTTCCCACGTCCTGCTCTACTGATATTCTTGTATGTAACTGATACATTAACTACTGACCCGCTCCACTTCACCTCCCAGTAACATCGTCCAGTCAGACTCTCTCTACTCAGAACCTGAGCAGAACCAGTGAATCTGTCTGGATGACTAGAATAAGACTGATGTTGATCCATCCTTGTCACCTTCCTGTTCCCCTCTGATAGAACCAGCTTTGTGTTTGCTGTATTTGGATCCAGAGTTATTTCACATGAATACTTTAAGAACCCAGCTCTGGTCTTTGGTTCTGGTTCTGACAGTAGAACATCCACCTCAGTGACCATCAGTGAGATGTTTGTCCATGAGTCTCTCAGGACGTCCTGTAGTTTGTCTCTGAGCTCTGACACAGCTGCTGTCACGTCCTCAAAGTGTCTCAGAGGACGGATGTTGATGCTGGATGAGTGTGTGGACTCACTGGGTGCTGGCAGTGAGGGGTAGTTGAGGAGAAACTGGTTGTGATCCTGTGTGTGTGAGAGCTGCTCCAGCTCAGCGTCTTTCCTCTTCAGCTCAGTGATCTCCTGCTGCAGCTTCTCCTCAACATCTTTGACTCGACTCACTTTGGTTTCCTGCTGGGATCTGATCTGCTGCTTCACCTCAGAGCTTCTTTTCTGGAGGAGACGGATCAGCTGAGTGAAGATCTTCTCACTGTCCTCCACTGTTTTATCAGCAGAGTGATTGATGGCCTCCACCTCCTGTTGAAGCAGCTTCACATCTTTCTCTCTGTCCTGGATTCTCTGCTGGATGTTTCCTCGTCTCTCCTCCAGCTCTCTCTGCCTCTCAGCTCTTCCTGCTGCAGCTGACACTGTGTCATGGCCTTGATGTTCATCTAGTAAACAGAGACTACAAATACACTTCTGATCAGTGCGGCAAAACATCTTCATCACTTCATCATGCTTAGAGCAGATGTTCTCCTGCAGGTTCTTGTTCGGCTCCACCAGCTTGTGTTTCTTAAATGTCTTTGAATCATAATGAGGCTGAAGGTGTTTCTCACAATAAGAGGCCAAACAGACTAAACAGGACTTGATGGCTTTCAGGTTTCTTCCAGTGCAGAAATCACAGGCCACATCTTCAGGTCCAGCATAGCAGTGGTCAGCAGCAGCAGCTTGGAGTCCAGTCTTCTTCATCTGCTCCACTAGAGCTGCTAGCATGGTGTTCTTCTTTAGCACAGGCCTCGGTATGAATGTCTCCCTGCACTGAGGTCAGCTGTGGATTCCCTTCTGATCCTCTTGATCCCATTGGGTTTTAATACACTTCATACAGTAGCTGTGTCCACAGGGAATAGTCACTGGATCTTTCAGTAGATCCAGACAGATGGAACAGGAGAAAGTTTCTCTGTCCAGCTGATTCTGCTCCATTTCTGCTCTCAGTCACAGCAACTGTGAGTTTTACTTCCTGAACACAGAAACCTGTTAGAGCTCTGATCTATGACTCACATGTTGGTGCAGAGAGGCAGCAGCCAATCAGCTTCCATATTCAGCAGATGTTTGCTCCGCCCACCTTCATGTGTTCAGAAGCAGGAAGAAGAAGAGGAGGAGGAGGAGGAGGAGGAAGGCTCTTAAAGTGATAAGATTTAATGTTGAAACATCTCCAAAATAGTTTTCATTTCAAAATAACTGAGTCACTGAAAGTCATGTCTCTAAAGTGTCTTCTCGTCTCTACAGGAATGTCCACACCCTGCTGTGTCCCTGCAGAGACAAACAGCCTCTGAAAATGAAAGTAGAGATTGAGGGACGTCTGTCTGTTACAGCTGCAGTCTGTGGGAGTTTCAACCAGGCAGGAAGCAGAGAGACAACAATCACTGCTTATTATTACAGGTTTTCAGTGGCTTTGATCCCAAATTATTGAACATTTGAGAAACATTGTTCAAATTTATACAAACAATAAAACATCTTAGATTATCTACTAAATCCATTTTCTGCCTATCTATCTATCTATCTATCTATCTATCTATCTATCTATCTATCTATCTATCTATCTATCTATCTATCTATCTATCTATCTATCTATCTATCTATCTATCTATCTATCTATCTATCTATCTATCTATCTATCTATCTATCTATCTATCTATCTATCTATCTATCTATCTATCTATCTATCTATCTATCTATATCAGGGTCAGTATAATAAGTTCTTGTTTGATTGTGTTTGGATAAAACAGTCAAAAGTTTTCATACATATTGAAATATGGAACTTATAACTTCCATATTTCAATCAATCAAGTTTATTTGTGCAGCTCATTTCAGCAACAAGTCGGTTCAAGATGCTTTATATAACACATTATGTAATGCTTTTTAATAATGCAAGTGTTACGACCCGTCTAGGGTTGATCAGGTCATAGCAGGAAGGATCCATCCTCTTCAAATCTCAAGCAGCCCACAGACACAAAGTTGAACATTTTATAATGTTATTTATTTTAAAAGATGTATTTTTGCATTGAGATGTTTCAGCAAGTGGAGCTTATGGCTTCAGAGTGAGCTAATGCCAAAAACAACAAACAAAAGGAAACTATCT